GATCTTTGACGATATTTGTCACAATTGACCTGAATGACCCTGAACCACTTTCTTTGTTGGAGATTTTCGACAGCTACAACTTACCAGACACTGTACATGTCATGCTATCTCATGATCAATGACGTAACCAGTTTGAAGGGATTCACAAATTTAGCGGAAGTAATGCTGTTTTTCCAGCCCGGGTACAAATTTACGTACCCGGGATGGAAAATGTACGGGCTGAAATACGTACAAATTGCGTACAAATGCCCGGGCTGAAAATACGTACAAATGCCCGGGCTGAAATACGTACAAATTTACGTACCCGTTTTCTTGCCTCCGAAAATGTTTTTAAGCATATTCGTAGATGTTAACTAGAAATTTACAGAATTTAATTAGAATTCAATTATTTACATAATTTAATTAGAAATTTACGTACAAATGCCCGGTACTGAAATACGTACAAATGCCCGGGCTGAAATACGTACAAATTTACGTACCCGTTTTCTTGCCTCCGAAAATGTTTTTAAGCATATTCGTAGATGTAACTAGAAATTTACAGAATTTAATTAGAATTCAACTATTTACATAATTTAATTAGAAATTTACGTACAAATGCCCGGTACTGAAATACGTACAAATGCCCGGGCTGAAATACGTACAAATTTACGTACCCGTTTTCTTGCCTCCGAAAATGTTTTTAAGCATTTTGGTAGATGTTAACTAGAATTTTCAAAACCTTGCTAGATAAGTGTTTATGACTGAGTAATACCCAGTAATAAACAACAAACTATCGTCTTATTTATTTCTGCTCCAGGTTCCCGCCCTCGTGTAGATACCGCTTCCCGCCCCTTGTTCTCCCGGGCTCCCGCCCCCCTGTCCCCCTCCACCATTTAGTGATTTGAAAACCTTGACCGGCTGCCGGTCATTTAGCCACAGCGTAAATTGTTTGCCTTTGGTTTGCTTAATGGTTCGAAACCAACGCTTCGTGCTTAGCAACCTCCCGCGTGCATCTCGATGGCTGCGCGCTGCGTTGCCGACTTTCATATAGTGAGAGACTGGGGCGAATTTTGCCAACGCCGGACAAAATTGCCGAGAAAGTTAAAAGTTATTCTGTGTATATAAGAGCTGCAAGTTTCGTATCCGAAGAAAACCTATGTTTGCAGACATGAATACCACGAAGAAAGTAGATTCAAAGGGGCCAGATAGTTTAGCAGTGAAATTGAAGGACGCTAATTTAGCTGGATGGAGCGTAGGAGATTTAAAATCTGTGTTGACGGAGATGAAACTGAAGGTTGCCGGAAAGAAGAAGGAGCTTCTCGATCGGCTGCTTCCGTTTGCCAGTGACAACAATCTGTTAGAAAAGAGACCTAAAGAAACTTGGAACTTAGAACTTGTACTCCCAAATAGCTAGGCTAATGCTGGGAGATAAGAGGTAAAAAATATTAATTTTTTTCAAGCAAGTATGGATCCAACTGAAATACCTCCACCATCGTCTGTATGGAGTACAGACCAATCGCTTTTTCCCCTAGTAGACGCGTCAACCATAAGTCAACACACTGGATTCGAGAGACAAGGTCGCAAAGGACAATATCGCAAGGCCCAGAGAATCTTTAACTCGAGGAAGATAAAGACAGTTAAAGTTCATAAGAATGGAGAAGTTACTTTTGTAAAGGCCATGATCTTCAAAAGTTTCGGGCAAGAGATCACTCGTCACGCTGTATTGGTATTCAAAGATAATTATCCAGTGAAAGGATACTGCGAGTGTCCAATAGGTAAATGTGAAATATGCTGTCACGCTGTTGCCCTCTTATTGTTTTTACAGCATTACTCCAAGCACAAAGTTTTTTTGTTTTCCCTAACTTGCACCCAGAAGATGCAAAAGTGGCATAAAAAAGGTACGGAAAGTCAAATATGGCAACAAGCACTTCCCACATACCTCTCAAAGCATATAGAAATGCTTCTTCTTCTAGGAAACCTTTGAAAATCAAGACAGGACAGGAAAACAACGGGGAAAAATTGACTGCAGCAGTTAACGATAATTCAAAGATTTGCTGGTTGAAAAGGGATGTAGATGATATCTCAGGTCAGATGATGAAGGATCTTAATAGCCATAGAGTGCAGCAGCATTTCTATAAAACTTTAAGAAAGTATGGAATCAACTCTGGACTTGCAATGCAACTTCATTGTAACAATTCTTATTATGCGAGAACTGTGTTCAGTGACCATGATTATTGCAAAGATTTTGAAGAACTTTATGACAACAAAGTTTTAAGAACAAGGTTTCCATGATGCATGGCACTCAAACCTGAATTATGTGAGCAGTTCTGAGATCACAGATCTAGGTGATGTCAGACTTGTAAAGGAAACAGTTGACCAAAAAGATGACTCAAGTATTAATGCATAAACACCAGCATGGATTAATGCAATGCCAAAAACTGTCAAACAAGTTATTTTTCACAGAGTGTAACACATAACAATGCCAGGGATTGAATTGATCATTTAAACATCTAGACTGCATTTTACAAAAGCATGGCCATGTTTAGAATCAAATTGTCAATCAGAACAGTAGCAATATCAATATTGCCAGTGTTGTAAACAAAAGCCATGCTTAATGGACTTAAAAATGATACACTACTTTACATTTAGTGGCTAAATACATGTATGTTTCATTCAAGTCAGATCATCTCAGTTCTTTGTATTAAATTACATACAGATTTCTGAACAATCCCTTTTGGGCCAACAGGACTTTTCAAGGTGTTTACACCATGCACAAAGATTTTAAAGCAGTAACCTAGTATATCAGTTCGATTCATGGGCCAACAGGTATTCAAGATGGTGCAGTCTCATTCGTCCAATGAAATTTTCGTTGTATATCCTCAGTGTTGCAATGTCAAAATTTTTGCTGATGTCAGTTTGTTCATACTGGGAATCAAACTTTAATGGAGGGGGATTAAGTAGTAGTCCCTTATGGTGGCACAGGTCTGCAATGTCAAATCCTTTGTCAGTTAGAATGATTTTTCCTTTGTTCACTTTGTCCAGCACTTCACATTGTTCAGTGATGTCCTTATCAGATATTGTTCCAGGGTAAGTGTCACTGCAATGGAGAAGACCACTGTGGGGATAAATCCAAACAGATGTCTTCCCAGTCGTGTGGTTTTTATATGAGCTGAAGGTGATATTATTTATATCATAATTCTCTGACTGAGTTATCCAAGTTTTTGTCGCATCTCCTAGAGCCTCGGTTTCCACATAACCAGCGTCATAAAATTCCTGTGGAAGGTATGCTTGGACAAACCCAGGTAATGGTTTGAGGTCAAGACATTCAAATACTGTGGATAAGAATATAGCCCAGCCAATAAAAGCTCTAGAAATTGTTAGCACACTTGTTTGCACCATCCTAGCCATAATACCGAGGTGTAGTGAGTGTCTACAAACTGTAAAAAAAGCCATGAGTTCAGTTTTTGTGTCTAACTTCCTGCTCTTTGTCTCAAGACCTCCACCTTTGCATTCAGGGTATCTGATCAGATGCAAAAGTGGTTCAACACACTAATACAAACAATCAAATTCATTTGTGGTAAGTTCTGTTAAATAAATGAACTTATCATGTTTGTCCTTCAACATCATGTTGGTGAATTGTTCTTCCGTCAGTTCATTTATTTTATTTTCCTGTTTTTTTTCTTTTTTGAGCAAGTGTTCTACCTGACATTTCAGCCTTTCCATCTCTTTGTCCTTCTCTTTCAATTTACTTGCCAGTTCTTCACACTGATTTCTAAGCATTTCATTTTCTAGTCTGTATTGACTTTCATCTTTCCCAGAAGCCAGATTTACTACAGGGGTTATCTCCTTATCCTCCTCTCTTTCTTTCTTGAAGATTATTCGCCTTTTTGATTTTACTTCACAAGATGAAAACTCTAACGATCGCTTAGCCGCTACCAGCTTATTTGCTTTTAACTTTGCACATTTTGATGCAGATTCCTCAAGATTTTGAACATACTGTTCATTATAAACACGATCCGGTAGATCGTAGAGGTTTCCTCTTTTTCCTTTCGACCAGTGCTGGGAGCAAATAACTGCTTTCTTCCAATTGATGTCATCGTTCTTAAGTACTTTCAGAAGCCCTCAGAGCTGCGTCAGTCGATGAACCACTTCTTGAGAGCGTATAGTACGTTAAATCCTTGTTTCTCCAGTTGTTTGTGCACAAAGCCGCTACAAAATTCCAGTG